TCAATTTGTGCGATTGAATGCACATTTTATTGTTCTTTTGCGAATTTATAGAAATCAAAATTGTAAAATATCTTACCCGACCAAGTATGGGGCCGACCATTACATAATATGCTAATTTTATACCTGTTATTAATTATTTTTTGATAGCTTGAACGCGAGCCGCGGCCGTCCAATTAAACTGATCATTTTTATTCGTTGTCGTTTTAGAAAAATGTTTATAATTTTAAAAAAAACTACATGGTAGTTTTTTTAATATGTATTTTATATGCTTGTTATAATAATATCGTTGTTAATTGAAATCATTTATTTTATTGTCGTCCCAAAAACAATGATAGTTATTTTAAAAATTGTACTTATTTACTATTGTAGTCTTTCCATACATACATTAATTATCAATGTTTCCAAGAATTCCAACTAATTCACACTATAATATTATATCGTATCGGTCGACTGTCGGTAAGCCTCGTTGATAAAAAACATAATTTTAATAATCACACTAAGTAGGTAAGTACAACGGTACCTACCTACCTGTTTCCAGAGGGATTAGATATATATGTATTGTTATTCACCGTATTTGACCTTGCAACAATAGGTATGTATTTTATAAGAATTAAAATAATTATGATTATTACTTTTGAAGTACCTACACCTAATATACATAAACGACATGGCTTATTTGCACCTTTGATTTGTACTTATATGTATTGTATTGTTATTATTATAATTATCATAAAATATATTATTAAGATGTGTAAACCTACCAATTATCGATTTGTTAGCATTGTTTGGCTATCAGACCGTTTTTTTTGTTTTATTATTAAATATTAATGCATCTATAATATGTAATAAGTACCTATTTCGCTTTGCGGTAGCGTTTGTATTTATAAATATATATATATATATATATATATATATATTTCCGTTTTTGATCGTTAGCCGACGGTTTATCCATCAAGTATTATATGCACACGCAGCTTAAACACAGTAAGCAGTAATTTTTTTTAATAGGTATATGATTCAAAAGAATTGTACGATTTGACGTGATCGACCGCTGCGTTTTCAACTACGTCATTAACACAATTATTATACTGTTTTAAAGCTGGTATTTTTTTGTTTTCAATATAATCCACCATACAGCGATTGGAAAATTATTAATTATTTTTTTTATATTATTCATATGATTTAAAAAAAAAAGTATAATCGTAAAATATTTTTGGTACAACATATTTTGCTGTGTGATAGCAAAAAATATAAATGCAAAATATTTGTTTGCTGTATTAGGAACATTATTAATACTAATATGTATTCCATTGATCATGATATACTTTTCACTAAAACTTAAGAACACTAACGGACTGATGTATTTATATTGTATTTTCGAATACATAACGCAGTTACCTTCTTATACTTAATATGTTATAACGATGCTTCTTTTTTATATTTAGTATTCTGTATTTTCTATTATACTATAGTAATAATATATGTTCGGTAAATGGTTCATTAAATAGTGTCGTTATATTATATTAAAAATAGTAATAGTACCAACCCGAAAATGAGACCATCCAATTTAATACATATTATTGTACATAATATGGAACTATATTAACACATGAATAGTAAGTACAATAGCGTAAATCAATTAACTTTATGTTCTCCACATAACACGTTTCTTATCCTAATTAAATAGATGTTTAACGACACACGTTTATATTATGTAACAATCATATGTATTGATGATGTTTTCATGTTTTTAATTTAGATTGGTAATAATAATAGATAAGGAACCGCTAAGCTTTTTGTTTTTTTAATTAGATACATTTTAAAATTAGTATTTACATTTTTTTGAAATTTCCGCCTTACTTTAAATAATTTAATTATAGCTATTATTAATTATTCAATGAATAGTTATTTAATTGGCCATTAAATACTTTTAAAAGTTTTATTACCCATTTTAATTTATTGCAATCATTTTTGAAAAGCTTTTAACTTTTATTTATCATCACAGAACCTAATGTAGGTACATATTTTTTTTGTTAAAACAACACAATATGGTGATAATAAACTATACATACATTTTTTAAACTATATAAAATAATATTAAGTGAGCGTAGGTTGGTATGAAAAAAACAATAATCTAATTAAATTGTAACAAATTTCACTTGTCTATCATCGTATGTACCTATATATGTAGGTATACTGCAACACTAAAGTGAAGTAATACTTATAATTATTTATTATCGCTACAATGATGATAATAATAATTATAATAAAAAAAAATTCTACAAGTCTATTAATAATTGCTGTTGGTATACTAATTATCATAATTAATACAATTCGCGGCTAGAAAAATGATATTCCAGAAAAACAATATTTATTAATTAACGTGTAATTTTAGAACAAGGAAAACATTGTCTAATTAATTCAACGAGTAAGTTTCCTTTAATCAATTACGTGTATATCGATATTATTTTTCGTGTTATTTCCTTGTACAAAGTTAAAATTGGACATTTCGAAGATAATGTTTATCTACATAATGTAGGCACAATTATGTAATAATATTATATTATTAATTTAGGTTATCAGAATTATTTTTGCAGAACCATCGCACCGGTAAGTCACTCAAAATGTTAACACTAAAAATAAAGGTATAATATTATATTAAAGTCAACAAAAATATTGATAATATTCCAAATTGATACAATAATAGTGTTTATACACAACCTCCAAGTTAGAACAATTGAAATATGGTACCGAATATCGCATATACAATAAATTACCTATTTAAAATCATATTTCTTTTAGATATTCGATGTATGATTATGTTCTATATTTAAATACATAACATTTTAATAGCCTAAATTTGTTTTTTTTTTAATGCATGGTGAATAATATAAAAAGAAATTCTTTTTAAATCATATTTATTGTATTGTCTACATAGGTATCTATATCACCTATATATACAATCATTTAAAAACACATATTTCATTTAATTAGTATAATATGGTTCGGCCCATTAGATATGATTCAAAATAGTAGTTTGGTGTAAAGTCGAACTAACTTGACCTACCTAAAGGCTAACTTTAGTAAAACGTTATGCGATAATTAATTATGATAAGTTAAAACTAATAAATTATATATAGTTATATTATTCGGTAAAAATTGTTTTTAACGTTTTTGTTAATACATTATTTAATTATGTGTTTTTTTTTTAATGTTATCTCTTTATACATTTTTAATCGGTAATGTTTAAATTATTAAGTTTATTTTTATGTTTTATGCATTAATTAAAAGTCCAAATATGTGTAGGTAATTTTTAAATGATGGCGATACCGCTATACCTATATACAACATTGAAACACAAATGTAGGTACCTATAATTTTTTACTGTCAACTTTGCAATTTATTATAATATCACGCAGTTAATTATTATTTCTAAATCAGGCAAGTAAATTGACGCTGATAATGTAATGTTATCTATAGTCATAATATGAAAGTTCAAATTTTAAAACGACATTAGCCTTTGTACAATAATAATTGTGTTCAGGTCTTCCAACGATACAGCCCAGCCCTTCCGGTTGGGATTTTCTCACGGTCCAGTGTGATAGGTATACTATCTAAATTTCATTTTGAAAATAATTTTCATATTTCCTGTTGGATATTATCCAGACGACTGACGAACCGCTTTAACAGAGTTTTTCGGTAAATCATTTTCTTTTTAAATTAATTCAATATTAGAGAATTTGTTTTTTTTCTTCAGATATCGCTATATTTTTTTGTTAAAAAATAATTATATGTACCTAATATTGTACCTTTTACTGCAGGTTTAACGTTTTGTATTATTTTTATAATTATTAATTTACTTTTAGCTGTACTATTTATATAAAATCGATACCCGAATGGCGCATAACAAAATATTGCCCATTATACTATATACCTATATTATATTAAGTGTTGTGTGATAATCACGCAAACGAGCGGGTTAAATGAAAAGAATAAAAAATAACTTTATTATTACACGTGCGAAAACATGTTTAACGTTTCAATTTCACACGTCCAAGACACGAATGGCATGCAGCTGTAATTCTAACAATATAAATTGCTAACTTTATAATATACTTGTATACATATTACACACCCATTAAATTATATTGTTTCGTATGCATGGAAAGGAGCATTTTTTTTTAAATGTTGGTAACCGTTGTCCGTTTATAAAATAGGTAGGTACATATTGTTATTATGAAAAATAATTTATGTTATTAAAAATAATATTGCACCGACTTTGGTATTATTGATAAAACTCTACACGAATAATTATCAGTTAATAAGAAATAAGTTTATTGATAAATGCGTGTAAAAAATATTTAGTTGAAAATTATCCATAATTGCATTAGTTCAATGCAGATTGCGCGAGCAATTAATTAAGCGCATACATTAACAATATTATTATCACATTCGGTTTAACGAAGGTTAATATTTAATCGATTTCGGGCGATTTTATTAAATAAACATTTTTTTTTTTAAAGAAGTTATACCTAATTTAAAAAATTGAACTTAACTAAACTATGACACATTTATTTTTATTTTGGTCAAGCCAAATGTATATTAAACTTTATGAAAATATATAATTGGAATAGGACTGTATTCGTTCTTTGGCAGTTTTAAAAACAAACGTATCTCGTTTAGACAGATTACGATTAATGATAAGTAAAACAGCAAACTATAATAATATTACATATACCCACCTACTTAGTTAAAATGTTAACAAAATAAATAAGACGATTCGGTTTCAAAGTTGTTACTTTTATCGTAACAAACGCATTTAATTTAATTACACAAATACAAAACTATTATCCTTATCTGAATTCGAAACCAATTTAAAGTGTTCACAACAGCATAATGTTTAACTTAAAGTACAATTGCTCGATTTTGTTTTAACTTCAATTTTTAAACAAAGAAGTTACTCTAAAACAGTATCGCCGGAGAAAAGCGAAGACGCTTACCTTTTTTGGGCGATCCGCTTTCGGACGCGCTATCGTCGCTGCAGTGGTTGTTGGGTATCCTTATGTGGTGTTGTTGTTGCTGGTGCTGCTGGTGTTGTTGTTGCGACTGCCGCCGCTTGCCGCCGTCGGACGCCACTTGACCCGCGCCGATGGACGGCCTTTGGTGGTGTTGCGATTGATGGTGCTGCTGGTGATGTTGGTGCACTGACGGTGGAAGGTGGCCACCGTTATTCCGGGCGGCCGCGGCAGCCGCCATGGCGTACCGCTGGGCGGCCGCGTGCTCGGCGTGATGCTGCTGTAGGAACGGGGACAGGCCGGCCGCGAAGCTGGCGGCCGTGGCCATACCGTGCGGAAACCGGGCGGTAAAGTGCGGGAACAGCGGATGTGGCGGCATTTGGACGCCGGCCGCTGCGGCGGCCTGCTGTCCGCCACCGTAACCGTTGGCCGCAGCCGCGGCGGCCGCGGCGTACAGCCGTAACGACGGCGACGCTTGTCCCGAATCCAACACCATCATCGTTCGCACGCGCGTGTAACACTGGTGTTGGTGCAAAACGCGAAGGTACGGCGGTTAAACGCACTGGCAACGATGAATTACGGCAACGATTCAACAACAAAAATTGCACTACGTAATAATTATTATACTGTAACGCGGCGGCCAGACGATAACCGTGTGACGGACGAGCGCGCGGTACGGCATCGGCGCGGCGATTAAATATAGTTAACACCTATTTTTCGGGTGCTCCGCGCCGGCTCGTTTGGGTCCGCCCCTCGGCCGCCGCGTTCCTCACTCCGCCCCGCCGCATTGGCCACCACCACGACAGCGCACCCGTTAACCGCCGTATGTCTCCGCTACGCGCGCACCCCCGACGGCGGCGGCCAAATTGCCGGGTAATGATGGCGAGCGTATCCCCGCCGCCGCGGCCGCTCATTGAATTGGCCGCCCGCCCCCTTGCGCCCGCCGCGCACTGCACACGCCTCGAGTGGCCGCCGACCACGGTCACGCCCACCGTCGCGACGAAACTGTAGCCCGCAGCCGGCCCGTCGCGCGGTCACCTCCACCGTCGCACCGTCAAAGGGATTGCGCGATAATAATAATTATCTTCAATTTGTACTTTTCGTTGAACGGCGAAAATATAATTATAATTATAATTTAATAATAATAACCGGCGGATAGCTCGATTTAAACGCAGCCTTTTAGGTGTAGGTACGATAAGCTACCAAAAACTGATAATATTACTCACAATACTTGAGAACCTACACTTAGACTTTGTTGCAAGTTCTATAAATCTGATGTCACTATTAATTAAATAAATAAATACAGGTAATTAATAAACGAAATACAGGTAAACACCCATTTGATGGCCCTGATTTAAAAAAAATACATTTTTTCGTTTCGATATTAAGTTCTAGTTTGGGAGATATTAGAACGACTTTCCATTTATTAATAATTTATTAAATGTAAATATTTGCGAAACCTTTATAGGTTTTTAGTGATCAATTTAACGCTAGTAGAATTCGCAGGAGGGTGCCTTAAAAATTAACTTACATACAAAAACTCAAAAACATATCTAATCGTACCTAAGTACATTCGTATCATATTGTGTGTACATAAAAGACTGTAAAATTAATATAGACTATGATAGTCATTAGTCTGACTATCTAATGGATCGTTAATTTTTTCATACTCTGGACTTATAAAGGATAATTTCAAAAAAAATTATATTTGTTTTAATAGCACGTGCGAATTAGTAGTGGTGTACATTAATAACTGCATACAATTTTATTGATTTGATTCAATTTGTCCGTTTTGTCGGATAACCGATGAAATTGTCGTGTATAAACCAATTTGAACAAACTAGAATAACTTTTAAAAATAGTACACAAAATTCCTTTATATAATAAGACTTAATACTAAAACTATATCTATAGATACAATAAATGGAAAAATCGAATACCTACCAATATTGTCAATATAATAATATTGTCTAATTATTCACTACCTAAAATGAAAAATGTATTTAGGTATTATAATAACGCGTATGATATGATACATATTTTTGTCTAATATCAACTGTAAATTGATTATTACAAAAAAAAAAAATTCTATTAAGTATATCTAATTTATTACACTTTTGTGCGTATATTAAATAATCAATATATTTATATTGCTTGTATCCATTGATACCAAATTTTTTTCAAATTGATTGAATCGATTATCACTATATAAAATAATCATTAGCTTTTTTTTCCTCGTACTTAAATTTTTTAATTATCAGTCTTCAGTACTGTCTGTATAAAATAGGTAAATACACTACAATACACATTTATTTCTACTACAATCTACATAATATATATTTTTGAATATATTTTGTAATTATTGTGTATCTTATCTTCTATACTATTTACCTAGGTAGGTATATATTTTTTTCGAATTATGTTTTTGTATTTGGACGTATATTTTTTTTAAACTTAAGGCATGCCATTGCAATGCAAACAGGAATATATTAAAATACAAACGTAACGTGTTAAACGACATCAGCGACAAGTATTGCGCCACCGCAAGTGCGTCGTCTGACGTTGAATGATTTACAACGAGGATGATTTATAATATTTTTATATACCTATACACCAAAGGCGTTGTTATACACGGAAGGTTTTGATGCGTTGGACTAGTGCCCGTCACAACGGATAATTAAAGAATTTAAGTACAAGGGAAAAAAGTTAATGATTATTTTATATAGTGATAACCGAAAGTGTATAATAAAGTTTTAATCCGACGTTTACGCCCACTGTATATCTTATTTAATTGGAATATAAAACATTTTTTTTACATTTAGTTGACCCAACTATTTATCGTTATTCGTTATTCCAAGTAGAAATGTATTGTGTCCACCTATATTAACCAGAATTTTAGTTGGACCAACTACGTATATTTTTCTGTAATTGATTTAAAACAACTATGCGCTTATTATGTTTTGTGCACATTTTGTTGAAATAAAAATATCTTTCTTTTTTTACATAATATCTAATTAGAAGATAATTTTTTTGACGCGGAGAGATTTCCTGTTGTTTTTTAATTCAGGTAAACTATATTATATTATAGTAGGTACTATATAATAATATATAGTTTACCTGAATACTTCTATAGTTATAGCTGGCGGTCGATAACATATAGGCGTCTTGTTAGTAACTACATCCTGTATAATATTATTATTATTACACCAGAACAAGCCGCCGTCCGCATACAATGAACACCTTGTACTATAATATATTATATACACACTTGTAAATATCCGTTTTATTCCGTCGTTTATTTACATATAATATAGGATGGGGAAATACTGTATAGGTTTATACAATATAGTACGGCGGTTTTTTTTGTCCATTGCCTTGGGTATGTATAATAATAATATGTATTTACTATATGTATACCTAAATATATACAAGGAAGATGTGGCGCGCGTAAACGGAGCAATAAATAAAAATATGTGCTGTATATTATTATACACGTATATAAATATATATAAACACGAGCAGACCGCGTGGAGTATAATATTTATGCGGCCCGAGGGTTGGAGGGATGGGAAAAAAGCAATTTCATGCAAGCCAAAGTGTATGTATAATATATATATATATAGATATATGTGCTTATGATTGTGTGTGTGTGTGTGTAAACGCACTATAGGAAGAAGAGGATAGCTCGAGCATATAAACTGTTTTCGAAACGTTAGGCGGAGAGACGATGGGCGGAACGGCCGAGAGAAAGTTTAATGAGAACAAACTGCCTTTTGGGGGTATCCCTCCCCTAACCGCGTATACCGACCATCCCTCCCTCTTCTTCACCCCAGCACAAAAAAAAAACGCGGCGTGTAGCAGCGGTTACGTGTTCTCAATTCTTAGCAGAGACAAAAAAAAAAGGCTGAAAAAAGATATATATATATATATGTATATACCCGCCACGGCGGTTGGTTTTTATTGCCCGGAGCACACGGGCTCGGTGGGGTAGTGGAGGGCTGGCAAGGAGGTAGCAAATAAATAAACTGTATATTATGGAAAAATATTACCCACTTTATTCAATACCCGAGCGGAAAACCCCGGAGAAAAGCGGCGGCGAAAAAGAGGGAAAAAGCTTTTTTTAATGCCGTCTATAAAAAAACAAAAAAATTAAAAAATACCGCCGTTGTCCCTATACAGTTCTGTCTGTATAAGAAAATTTGCTGCACAAATTGGCTTGTACACTTGTTCGGTTATAATATAACAATAGTTATAGTAGGTACCTACATAGCACGAGTGAGCCACTTCGCCGGTTAAGTTTATACTTTATGCCGTTCTCGCGCCGGTTTACCTTGGAAGTTAAGTATAAAATTTAACAATACTAAAGTTATTATTGTTATAGGCTAAACTCTGCTTTTCGCGTACTGTCTTGAAATGTTTTATTTATGTTTAAAACAATTTGACGATTAACACACAATTAAACTATGTCATCTATAACAATGAAATATTATAAATAACTATTGTTATTAAAAAAAAACAATAGTTTAATAAACAAGTTGTCAATAGTTTTTAACGGTTGATGTGATAAATTAATTAAATGAGTTAGAATAGCCGCTGTCAGTAGCGCAACCAGAAATATCCCTTGGGGGGGAGGGGTCCAAAGTACGGTTTTTAGGTATAAGGTCCATGTGTAATATAAGAAAATGACAATATGTGATAACGATTTATTATCTGCCGCAAAGCAGGCCAAAACAAAATTATGATATTATTATATTGCCAAAATGAATAAATGTTGTTTACTGTAAAATATAATTAGACAATAACTAAAATTACTTAACCCAATTTTCCACTTTAAAAAGTACTCAAGGGGGAGGTCTGGACCCGAGGACCCTCCCCCCTTGGTTGGCCACTGGCCGCTATAATAAACACATAACTATTAACCCTTAACTTGGCATCGTATCTTTAAAAATACTTACATCCATATCCAACTTATTATGTGTATAAAATATGTATGTATGTATGTATACCAAAAAGTACTATTATTTTAATTATTTATAAATATTTTGTTTATTTTGTTAATACTATGTAAATATTATCATATATATATATAACCTAAAAAATATATATGAATACCTAACAAATTAATTTAAATACAAATAATGTACATATAACTATATAGACAATTATTGTAGGTTAATATACACATTTTGTAGATACTATACAATTTATTAATATCGTTATACGGATTCCTTATGTAGGAATGTTAATTATTGTATATAGTACATTGTAACTACACACAAATTATACGATATTTTAAAGCAAAGTATTTGCCTACTACTAGAAAAAAAAATGAAAAATGTACATATTTATTGTTTATATAAACCTAATATTATACTTAATGTGCATACTCCGACTGAGAAATAAAAGCTTTATTATACCAGTGTATTATACGACTTGAATGCATGTAAATACATTTTTAATAAACTCTCGAAAACATCTTCACGGAATATGCAAAAACTTAGCCAATTACAACCGGCCATAAAAAGTATAACAGTTTTTTTTTTTGAAAAATAAACTTTTAAAACGCATAAATAAAAAACTAATAAAAATATACAATCGGTTACAAATAATTAACTTCCTCTCGGCGGAGACGCTATAAAAAACACAGGAACCTTTTTTTTATTTCATCCCCATACCAA